GGTTACCTACAAGGACCAGTTTGTACAAGCAGTTAACGGTGTACTTCACATTTTTACGCAGCTTGGAGTGCAAGTGGCAGACTTCTTTAACCAGTTGGCGAGAGCTCAACTCGACAGTGCGCAACAGATGTTGAGCCCCACGTGCCAGTGCGAGCTGGTTCACCTTTAAAAAGGGGACCAGCTCAGCGTTCCCAGCACGTGTCAGTTCAGTGGTCCTCTAGGTTCTACGACCGACTGCCAGCAGGACGCAATCGCCCCTGTCTACGGAGCGCACAGGCCGAAAACAGATGCTCCCCAGACGGTCCTCCAAGGATGCTCCTGGCGTATCCACCGACACCGATGTCGTCCGCGAGCGGGTCCGGACGCCCCCCGGCTGCCCCTCTGGACCACGACTCCGCACCAAAGGTGCCAGACGACGTGTCATGTGTCCACTTTGGATCTTTCGTGGTTCCCTCTATATGTGCGTCGAGGCGCGCACCGAGATATCTTATAGTATATGCGTCGTGGCGGGCGCTTTCTGGCCACACCGCTGGGGAAACGGTATGCTACAAGATGGGTATACTATATGTTCGGGTCGGACGCGCGCCTCCAAGGTGGACATATAGCACTAGTACGTCTCTGCGCGTCCCATCTTTGAGGGAAGGCCACTGGGAACCTCTTCGAAGGACCAGTCAGAGCTTTACGGCTTGTCTTTGAGGGGGACGGGCAAGTTTTAGGTCTGGCACTGGGGGGGGCCGATTCCTGGCAAGGCTTGTGTCTGCGCACAGACAGTCCCTGGAGGAAGTCAGGCTTGCCTCCACAGGCTCCCGAAATTGTCCGGGGCGGGCTGATCAGCCGAATCTTGGGGCACGGAGCGCCTGGCGGTGTCAGGGTTGTGACACCGCCCTGAGCTACGCAGGGGACCTGTTGAGGCCAGCTAGGTCTACCTCCGTCTGTGGACAACCCCAAGCCTTGCCTTCGCTGCTCCCAGGCCCTCTTTAGCCCGTGTCCTCGTCGGTTTCCCAGCAGTCATCCGTTTCTGCGGGTCCGCCGACCATTGCTGAAGAGGGACCAGAAATCGAGATGCTTCAAGGCCACGGACCCTCGCTCGGGGATGCATCCGCATATAGTTTCACATGCGCGCGCAATGGTTCCAACACATGTGGGTTCATCCCCCAGGAAACATGCCACGGGCGCGTGAATCCAAAATACGTAAAGAAGGCCGCGTCCGAGGGCAGCCCTGTCCGACAGAGAGCACCAAGGCCGTGACCGCGACCCCGTGGGTGACAACCTGTGGGCGACCGCCGCAAGCCCAACGGACGGGAGCAGCTAAGCTTGAGACCCCATGGTCGGAACCTTGCGGGCAACCACAGCAGCCCCCCGTAGACGAGCGCCTAACGTCGAGGCTCTGCGGATCGGGATCTTGTGGGCAACCACGGCTTCAGAAAGAGAGCATTTGCGGCCTGGACCTCATGGGCGAGACCACATGGGCAACCATCGCGACATTGACAGTGAGGGGCAACTGAGGCCGGGATCCGATAGGCGGGACCCTACGGGCAACTCCAGCAAGCCCAGCAGACTGAGGCAACCAAGGCCGGGTCCCCACTGGCGGGGCCCGAAGGCCAACAACCACGAACCCAGACAGTCGGAGGAAGCTCAGGCCAGGGCCTGATGTTCGGGAGTGTATGGCTAACCGCTACGACATTTGCCAAGGGGCTTGGACCCAATTAAGGATGGGATCCTACTTGCCGGACCCCATAGCCAACACGAAAACCGCCAGACGGAGCATGGGTGGGCCCCGCTGGTCAACCATCACTAATGTTCGTAGATGGAAACGACCCAGGCCAGTACATGCGCAGGACAGTAAGGCCAACCACCACGAAGCTCGACAGCCAAGGGAGGTTCTTCAGGACCCAGGTCAGAACCTCTCAGTGCAGAGACTCCCTGGGGAAGAATGACATACGTAGATTGCGGAGAAAGCAACGTACGCGCACATTCGTCAGCACCTCTAATGGGAGGGGGCCAGACCATCAAGTGATTAAGACATGAAACAGTGGGAGCATATATGATTGTGTATGTGCTGGTTCTCATTCTCCGCTTCTCCACTCGCAAGTTCGCCGTTGTAAGATGCCCAGGCCACGGAGTTGCCGATGTCTCGCAAGAGCACGTAGCCCAATCGAGCGTACCTGGCCGTTGGCCAACGTCCCACTGTGGGACCGCGGTCTTTGTGTTGTAGCCCGTGAAGCGGGAGGCTGGCGGCAGAAGGCGCGAGTTCCGTGAGGGCGAAAGCCACCGTGATGGGCTGTCCCTCGCCAGCAAGAGATTCCAGTTGGCGGGCCGTACCTCGGGCCGTGCGGGGTGCCTACAGTCGGCCCAGATTAGTAGGTCGACCCTGCCAACTCAAGGGTACCTTTGTGTCCTCTTTCTCGCGACCCGTGCCTCCTGCGTTCCTTTGGCAATGTGACCCTCGGAGGGGTCTCGTGTCCTCGCGCGTGTCCTGTCCAGTGGTGTCCGACTGTAG